CAACAAATCAGGAGTTATCTAGACTGAGTCCACTTCTCTATTGTTTCTTGAGGAATTAAAAAGGTGCAATCTGGTTTTTTCTGGTACATCCTTTGTTCAAAGGGGATTAACAAAGGGGAAAAAACAATTACTGCCAACCTGCTTCCATTGAGGACCTGTACACTACATGAGTCAAAAAGAGGGCTGTGAAAATATTTACAGACCTCCCGCATCCTGGACATAAATTGTTTCAACTCTTACCCTCAAAACTATGCTGTAGAGCACTGTACACCAAGACAACTAGACACAAGAACAGTTTTTTCCTCAACTCTGCTAAACAAATAATTCCCTCACTGCTGTCAAACGATTCACTAAGACTGCATTACTATTAGTCTTCTCATCGTTCCTATCACCCATCTCCTTTTCTGAATGCTTAACTTTGATCTCCTCCCACTTATGACTGCTGGACTGTAACTTTGTTGCTTGTATATTGATATTGATTGTTTCCTGATAGCTTATTTGTACCCTATGACTATCCTTAAGTGTTGTATCTTATGATTCTTGAGGTATGTATCTTGTCTTTTTATGTACAGTGAGAGCATATGCACCAAAGACAAATTCCTTGTGTGTCAAATCACACGGCCAATAAATAATTCTATTCTATTCTATTCTATTCTATTCGAGAGGCTACTTGGAGGCAGAAGGGAAGGGCCTCATTTCCATCTTTTTGAGCCTTTCACCATGGAGTCAATTTATCATATATCCAGTGTTGTGCTCTACCAGAAGAAAGGGCTGGTCATAATTTATAACTTCTGATTAATATTGGAAGGAACAATTTGTCAGGCAAAGCCTAAAAATACATAAATATATTAAACAACTAAGAAGTGTATGGTAAAAAGAATCATGAATACTTTTAAGAAATCTTGTTTTTAATCATCTCACCTGAATGGCCCCGACACAACACAAATGAAGCAGTAGAATATTTCGTCTGTAGAATAAAGGCCACAACAAGGGTTATTTAAGGATACTTCCTGTTTCTGAAGTAAGAGGCTGCTTGTTCTCAAAATAAGTCAATAGGGCTATTTGAGAACAGTTAGCTTGAGTAATACAGCCTTATTTTTGTTTGGAAACTAATCTGTGTCAAAAAGCTGGTGTATTCTGAACAACATTAGCTGAGGTTGGTGATGGCGACACCCTTTTTCTGAATCATGAATGGGATTTTGATTCTGGCAAGATGGCATCTATTCAAAGCACTGGAATTACGTTTCAGTCCAAAATAGCAATAGCAATAGCACTTAGACTTATATACCGCTTCATAATGCTTTCTAGCCCTCTCTAAGCGGTTGCCAAAGTCAGCATATTTCCCCCAACAATCTGGGTCCTCATTTTACCAACCTTGGAAGGATGGAAGGCTGAGTCAACCTTGAGCCTGGGGAGATTCGATCTGCCAAACTGCTGGCAGCCGGTGATCAGCAGAAGTAGCCCACAGTATTGCACTCTAACCACTGCACCACCGCGGCTCAAATGTCTTTAGCTGTCACACAGAATGTGTGTAACTCTAAACCGGATGAATGGATGAATAGGTGGATGGGTGGATGGATGGACAGACAGACAAGCAAGGGCAGAAATGTAAGATTGACTTAAAGACCCCCAATGCAGAATAAATAAGCTTAAATTGTATATACAAGAATAATATTATCTAAGAAACAGCTTATATGGGGGTTACAGGTAGGGGTATTTTTACCTTGTTTTTAGAAGTAGTGGAGGATAATGTTTCAGATTGCCACTTTCAGTTTTCTACTGCAGATTTTATTAGATCCTGCCTTCAGGCTGGTGGTGGGGGAGGGAAGACATTTCAGCTTCAATTGGCATGTAATGGGATATGCCCATTAGTGTGGTCCTTAACCACCCAGAGTCATTGACAGTCGAAAGGCATACAGGTTTAATAAGTTTTAAATTAAATACCAGTTCAGTAAATCAAATTACTGACATCCTTGTAAATAGAACAGATGTCTAGGTCAGGAATGCTTTTGAATCACAATCCAGGAAGATTCTGCGCTGTGAACAGCAGAGGGCAGGGCTAACTGGAAAAGCCCCGTTAGTACACGCTGATTGAAAATGTGAACTTCACTTCTGAATAGAGCCTTGTTCTGTTGAGGAATCTTTAAACATCTGTGATGAAAACTGTAGATTCTGTGACAAGATCTAAGGTGGCACATTTAGCATATGCAGGATACTGTCCAAGCTTGCTGACCTACTTTATTGACCCATGTAAACTATAACCTAAAGCAAACTTTACATACCTTTATAGCTGCATATAGCAGGAGAGTGTCATGCATAATGACAAAATTGTTGTTGTTGTTGTTTTCCAAGAGGGGAAAAAATCATTATTGGAGTTAATGCGGTGCAGGTGGTTAAGATTTTGAATTGGGATTGAGGAGATTTGGTTTCAAATTCCCACCAAACCAGTAGCTTACTGATCCTCCGGTCTAGACATTTTTCTACTTCAGTTAAAGTGAGGGGAATCCTCCACTTACCGGTATGTATATTATCTGTAAGTTACCAGAAGAAAGTCTGGATATGAAAGTAAGAGCCGAGGTGGTGTAGTGGTTAAATGCAGCACTGCATGCTTCTTCAGCTGACTGCAGTTCAGCAGTTCAGCTGTTCAAATCTCACCGGCTCAGGGTTGACTCAGCCTTCCATCCTTCCGAGGTGGGTAAAATGAGGACCCGGATTGTTGTTGGGGGCAATATGCTGACTCTGTAAACCGCTTAGAGAGGGCTGAAAGCCCTATGAAGCGGTATATAAGTCTAACTGCTATTGCTATTGCTAAGTACCAATATTCATAGTTAATAGTTAAATACAACTACTTAGTAAGTATCCAAGGAACACAAGTGTGTTCACACAGAACGTGTCTCCTTAGATCTTAGCGGCTGAATTTCAAGGCACAAGAAGCGAACCCAGGTGTGGGCTTCAAAAATTTTAGCAAGGGGTTCTATGCCCAGTTGCTGGGTGGGCATGGACATGGTGGGCATGGTCTAGTCGGCCTCCTGCAGCATAGGGGAGAGATCTTTGCCTTCCCCCGGCTCCTGAGGCCTTCTGAAGGCTGGAAACGGCCCCGTTTCCAGCGTTCCCGAACTTCCGGTAGGCCCATTTTTCACCCTCCCCGAGCCGCTGCACTTACCTGCATCCAAAACAGGTCGCGTGGGTATTCCTAGGAGGGGTAGGATGGGCGGGACCAGCCAGGAGTGGGATTTGGGGGTTCTCCGAACTGCACAGAATCTTAGCTAGAGGTTCTTCTGAATCTCTATGAATCTCCAGCAACCCACTCTTACGTACCAGAAAAACAACAACATTGCAACATTTCAATCCCATGACAGATTCAGAAGTGATAAAGTTCTTCATGTAGGTTGTTTTAGCCACTTAGAAACTGTCTTGTTTTGTCTGAGCAAATTCGGATCTTCCATTGTGATTGTCTCTGCTTTTAATTCACATTATGAATTTGAGAAGAAAGTAAAATCAAATGGCAGTATTTCTTGATTCCCCACATGCTTATTCTCTACTTGAAGGAAACTAGAAAGGGTTCATAGCAGGTAGGGGACAGGATCGTATCCACTCTTAGCAATTCTTAGTAACGCCAGATTGGATCCAAATCAAAGATCAACGACTTCACTTTCAATACAAATTCCACTTGTTTATTAGTGGAAACAGCCAATAGAAAATCAAACATGTGTAGGAATGATGGAATAATAAAGTACTGTGTTCTTTACAAAGTAGAGACAAGATGATAAATCTGGATTATTGCTGACTTGCAAGGCGGCTGCAGATAGTTGTTTTTTTGCCAGTGGATGTGAGTCATATTCATGCTGAAGTTCATGTCCTTCCAACACCAGCTGTCAGGGTTTCCCAAGTCAGCAATATTATTAGACCCCCTGAATATTCCAGCTGCACACAGCAAGGGTTGTAACAAACACTGAGATGGTGAAGCTAGGAAGCAGCCAAACACAGCATGAGCCTCTCTACCCAGATCCTGAAAGGTTCTTTGGGTGGCCAGCTGTTCCCATTGCTGTCATTCCAACGAGCAGGAGCAAGCAACAGAGGTTTAAGGGGCCTGGAAGCAATGTATAATAGTCAGATGCAAAGCAAGAAAAGGAAAGGAAAGTTATGTATAAAACTGGCTTGTTCCGACGATAACGTTTGATTTTGTGTGTCTTACAGAGTGTATAGTGTGTGTATAGCCAAATCAAAGTTAGATTAGAATCTGGCTTGCTTTTGAGGAAGTTTTCTTCATAACTTTGGGGAAGGAGAAAACCGGAAGGAATTTGTGAAATCCAGCTAACCCGATCCCTCCAGCTAATACAGAGAGTGTAATATCTTTGGTTAAATTTCAAGATCCATTTGGGCCTCCATAATTTGTAACAGCATCATGGACTGCTTAGAATTGGGCTTTTACAGTTAACTCTCGGTTTTATGGACCCCAGTTTAGCAGACATTGCACATTGCCATTTTATGCCTACATAAAAAAACCTATTTGCCTTATCACACACCTATGTCAAATATCCATGAATGAAGTCCTATTCATATTTAATAGGGAATTGGTTTATGGGAGCTCCTCCCCATTAGGCAGTAAAATTAGGGACTGATTGTAATCTTTATCCCTAGAAGTTGTAAATGTCGATAATTAATGCAGGTGAATTAATAAACTATATATATATATATGCCGCGGTGGTGTAGTGGTTAGAGTGCATTACTGCAGGCTACTTCTGCTAATTGCCAGTTGCCTGCAATCTGGTAGTTCAGATCTCACCAGGCTCAAGGTTGATTCAGCCTTCCATCCTTCCGAGGTAGGTAAAATGAGGACCCTGATTGTTGAGGGAGATATGCCAATTCTGTAAACCACTTAGAGAGGGATGTAAAGCACTGTAAAGCGGTATATAAGTCTAAGTGCTATTGCTATTTTTTATTTTAAAAAATCGATCTTCAGTTTGACTCATAGATTATTCCTTTTGATTTTGGAACAGGGAAGGCTGCTTCTCCCCAATCAGTCCGGAGACATGTCCACTGGTCCAATCCTTCCTTTCTCCAGCTCGAGCATTCCTACTGGAAGGACATGTACAACTGAAGACAGGTCTGCAGACTCAGGAACGACACCTGTTCCTCTTTACTGACATCCTTGTGATCGCTAAATCCAAGTAAGTTTTCTTGCAGAATATGTCCTCTTTATAACAGTCAACATCCCTTACTATATTTTATGTTAGGGAGTTGGCGGGAGGCTCAACTCTGCTTTCCCTTTGCTTTGCTGACTGACATTTAGATTTTCTTTAAATTATACAACAGGACATTAGATGCAAGCAGAAGGTTGGGTGGTTGGGAGGCTGTAGTTAGCATAAATGAATAGCCTTTGTTACTCTGTGTGGGTTTTCATTATTAACCAATGTGCTTATCTGAAAAAGAGAGGAACCCCATTCGACTTGTGTCGAGGGCAGAAAGATTGAGTGAATGCTGTGAAATGTTTTTGCTTTTTCACCTGGTAACAATCAAGCAATGTGAAATTCCGGGTCATTAATTTGCAGGGGATTGGGAAGTCGGAGGACTCCAGTGCCTCTTACCATTCTGTTTCCTTCTACTTTGTTTGGCTTTAACATTAAATGATGCTAGTGCTGTTAATTGAATGTGGAGCTCCAAAAAATCCCCTTCATTTATCTGTGTCTAACATGACCTTTGAGAATGCTTCTTCAAACTAGTAACTAGTAACTTCATAAATTGTAGCTTAATGAAAAAAGAAACCAATTCTTCTCTTGCGGTTGTATGGCCTTATACAGTGTTAAGTTACTGGAAATGAAAATATCCTTTTATGGTTTGCAAAGAGAGTCAGTCTAGCTGTGTTCTGCTAAGAACTTAGATTCAGCATTTATCTGTACAATTACAAATATTCTCAGGGCTTCAGAAAAGATGTCTCATTGGTGACATCACGTTAGAGGTTTAACTTTGATTAAGGGGTTGCATATCATTTGGAGCACTGTTTGCTCAAATGTCTTCTCCATCCTTTCAGAGAAGTTCCCCCCTCCCCAAACTCTTATAAAGGCAACCAGGTATTCACTAAACAGAATATTAGATTTACTGAGAAACCCAAGTAGCTTTATAGTATAGTCTTTATTGTCATTGTACAAAATAAATGCAACAAAATTGATCAACTTTCATGTTGACCACCTACCATTGAAATCAGAGGGGAAGATGTTGGGAAGATGTGTTCTCGGAAAGTCGCGAACCAATTAAGCAAACTAATTGTATCCTGCAAACTCCATTCCCCTTTTGCTCCTCTTTTATTTCCTTTGCAAGGGGCCATTCATCGTCCACTTGTGGCCTTACTCCCAAGTCGACCCCTGTTCTTTAGCTGTTCCCTTCATCTGGCAACTCTGCACATGCGCACACTGGGAACAGGCTCACTGTTTGTCTGCCTCACTGATGTCTGACTCTGAAGGCAGCTGATAACTGGCATATGGCTCTGGTCCCCTCTCTGTCTCCGACACAGAGCCCTCATCTGAGCCTTCCCCAGACTCAGGACTGGCCCATGCTCCTCCCCAACCTCCTCACATCCCGAATCTGCTGCCAGCTCCGCTAGCCACTGGCGGACCACAACAAGATGTTTTCAGATTGTTTTGTCACCTGAGATTATCACTGGAAAAATACTTATCATTCAAATAGTCGTACATCCAATTCAATATGCTGGAATGTTGTAGCCATGGCTCATCCCCATGGTACACACCGTTCTTCTTCAGCTGACTGAACAAAATAAAAAATTGTATTGTTGGATCGGTACTGTCTAGTCCTGTTTTTTTTTTTAACAGGCCCTTCAGATGTTTTTATGAAGCTTATAAGTAGATTAATTATTAACCTATCCCCCAAATAATCATGGAAAGATTCTATCCCGGCTGTCCCCAGGTTTGCATAATTGCTTTTTCATAGAGAAGAATGCATGGCCACAAGTTCAAGATAGTCATTCAGCCTACCACTCCTGATTCTTTGGCAAAGAAGGATGTTTCATTATGGCTTTTCCTTCATAGTTTTTATGCATAACTGCACATGAATTGTTGCTCAGGTTTGTTCATAGCTATAAACACTGCAGTGCAATAAGGATATGTCAGAGTTCCAGTTCATAACTTTGATTTAATTCTGAATTGTCAGATAAGTAATCGTAAGATCAGTGTCAAGCTTGATTGCACACAAACAGCTTATTCAGGCTCTGTTATGTTTAGTAACATCTTTCAAACACTTTCTGTTAATTCAGAGACACAAGGAAAACAAAACATTTTGTACATGCTTACCAAACACGGCACTTCCAAGAAACCTGTTTCTGAGATACAATCAGTGAAAGGACCAGGGTTTTGTTTTTCCAAATTAAATAAGAACTGATGTATATATCTGCTTACTTTCCCTGTTCCATTTTTAGTTTCCATAACTGAACTCCAATTTCATTTGAACAGAAGGTTTTTTTTCGTTTTGCTTTGTTTTGTTCTAGTGCTATTCCTGAAACTGCTTTTCCCTGGGCGAAAAAAAATCAGCCACTGATGTCTAATGACATGTAATTATCTCCTAAAGCAATAACTGGATATATATACAAGGAAACACTAAGCATAAGAGCCCTGTCCTTCACACGCTTTGCTGACAAAGTATTAATAAATTACTTTGTGGAAAAAAAATTGTTATGTTAACAGGACTGGATGATCTTTCCAGGCAGACATTTTCGTTTTCACAGTTCTTATTTTAAGAACTGGTATTTTCTCTGATTTGCATGCTAATAAACATCATTCTCTTGCCTTCTTTTTCCTTCTTGCAACATTTTACTCGAGTATTATAAATTAAATTTTTTTTAGGTTAATCTCCTTTCATATCAGATCTTCCAATTCTGAGCGGTATAGGTAGTCCTTAACTTATGGCCACAACTGGGACCAGAATTTCTGTTGATAAGCCAGGCAGTTGTTAAGTGAGTTACACCTGACTTTACAACCTTTTTTGTCATAGTTGTGAGTGAATCGCAGCAATTGTTAAGGGAAATCTGCCTTTCCCCATTAACTTTGTTTGTCGGAAGCTTGGCTGGGAAGGTCACAGATGGTGATCATATGACCCTGGAAAGCTGTAATTGTCGTGCCACCCACTGCTCGAAACTACTGGTCCGCCCAAACTGGTTCGGACTGGCAGTAGCCCACCACTGGAAGGGGGTCATTTCTCCCTCTCAAAGATAGGCACTCCAATGATTGGAAATCAACACAGCTCTATGAAGCAAAACGTTCCAATATCTTTTCTACCTTTCTCATAGAACCCCTGCTTTTAACCTCTACTTATTTGAGTGCATGCGCTTCATTTGAATTTTCACCCTTTATTTTCCTAAAAAGGGATTAAATCCTTGAGAGATGACAAGAAAATTATATCCCTCTGCCCCATAATTGTAGGATGTGCTTCATCAGTGTTTATTTGGACTTGAAAATCATTTATTGTCCTAACAGAGTGAGTACAAGCCAAACCTAGATTTACAGTAGTTCGCTTAATGACCATTCAAAGTTACCACGGCACTGAAAAATGTGACTTAACATTTTTCACAATTACGACCACCTTAACAGCATCCCCATGGTCATGTGATCAAAATTCAGATGCTTGGCAACTGGTTCATATTTATGACCGTTGTTGTGTCCCAATGTCACGTGAGACCTTCTGACAAGCAAAGTCAATGAGGAAGCCAGATTCATTTAACAACTGGGTTATGGCACAGGAGACAAAATCCTTGTGTGTCCAATCACACTTGGCCAATAAAGGATTCTATTTCTATTAATTTATCAAATGCATATTCACTTAAACAACTGTGGCAAGAAAGGTCGTAAAATGGGGCAAAATTCCCTCAATAAATGTCTCACTTAAGAGCAGAAATTTTGGGCCCAACTGCCCATCTCATCTAAGTCCTAAGTGATTTTCTACATGATCAAAAAAGTAAGGTACAGAGTAAAAATTTGTAAACGCCATACTGATGTATTAGCATAGGATTCTGCATCAGTTCACCTCCCCCTGCCTGGAGAATTTCTAATCCAAAAACAATTGATTTGGAATTGCCAGAATGGAACTTAGGGGAATTGTGTAATAGAAGAAAAGTATTTTGAATCTTCCTTTATTTCTGTGGACATCATGCAGGCAGCAGCTGCCAGTGAATTTTGTGCAGACCAGTGTTTACATCTGCGGACATTTGGATTACTGCCAATTTCTCGGGGGGGGGGGGGGAGACCTACTTACAACTAGATTTTTTTTTTAGAAAAATGGATCATTAGCAATTTAAGCCAGTCTTCTGAAATCCTTAAAAGTTTAAATGCATCCACATTTGAGACCTAAAGAACTGCGTGTGATTGATGGTAGGTCTATGCTGTATCCTAGAACGAATTTTGAAAATGCTCATAACTCTAAGGATGAATAATTTGGTTTTCCTTTCAGATTGCACCTGTCTCTTTTTGGCCTGCTAATATTAATTTTAAAAAACATCCCAAATAAGAAGGGTTTAATTGGAATTTAAAATAGGAAGCTACAATAAACATAATGAAACATACTTTGGTAAAAAGATTTTCAGTCTTTCCTAAAAGATCAGTGGCCAGTTTAGGGCAGGGGGGCAGGGAGGGGGGACTCTAGAAATTTTAGAACCATTCCCGCCACCATTTGTCATTTATTCAATAGCCAACATCTAAAGCATGACCTCTGACTGTAATCTAGACAAACAGGAAAATTTCTAGGGTCCATGCTTGCAGTTGTGTGAGCTTACAATCTACTTCACTCGTGACGACAGGTCATCGTGTGACGTATCACGACTTCCCCCCCTTCACTAAACTGGGGATGGGCGTGGCCAGCATGTGACGCATCCAGCCTGCGGGCCGCGAGTTTGACACCCGTGGTCTAAAGGGTGAGAGGCAGGCGAACAACACAGAAGGCTTACTGCATGTAGTTTTCCATTCATGCTTACTTGCCCAGAGGAAATATTCGTGATTATTTATTAAAACAATTTATTGCCAATAACATGAGTACCGTCACGTTATTAATAAATTATCTGTGGTATGTAATATAAGAGTTGTATTAATGTAGTAACTATAAGATTGGAACGTATGAATAAAAACCTAAAAATCAGCAATGAAGAGGGTTTTTGTTTTTTTATGTTTCACATTTCTGAACCACCCAACTCTTTCAAAGGAGGATTCTGGGTGGTACACAACAAAACATCAAAATATAAAACAGTATATACAAATTAAAATGTCAGAGTTATATTTTCATTTTATGTATAATGGCTCTCTCCAATCCTATTTGTACATTTTAAGAATGGTTTGAGATCTTGCATATAGATTCCTGAGAAGATAAAATGAATAGGCCCTAATTCTCTGCTGTATTGGTAGTGTTATCAACTTAATAGATGAATTATTTATCAATATAGACTAGTTATGAATTATATTGAAATGTAGCAACCAAAATGCCTTGTAGCACTGTGTGTGTGAGAGAGAGAGGTGGGGGATGGAGAGAGAGAGAGCACATAGGCCCTGTGTTTTTGTTTCTTTCTTTATATTTTTCTATATTTAAAAAATGTGCCTTTTTTTTAAAATTGCAGGTCCCAGTTGCATTTCAAACTGAAGAACCAGGCCCGCCTGTCTGAAATGTGGACTGCTTCTTGCTTGGAAGAGGTCTGTGAGAGCAGCACTAATGCCGACCGATCTTTTGTTTTGGGATGGCCCACAACCAACTGTGTGGCTAGTTTCAGGTACAAGATATTCTTTTAATTGATTTCTCTATCGTTGCTTATATCTAGGGGTGCGATAGCTGAGCGGTGAAAGACACTGAGCTTGTCAGCTGGAGAGCTGACAGCCCAGGTTCAAGACCTGAGTTCTGCGTGTTCCTTTCCCCAGCTCCTGCACACCTAGTAGTTTGAAATTATGCAAATGCAAGTAGATTAATAGGTACCACTTCAGTGGGAAGGTAACAGCATTCTCCTAGTAGGTGGAGGCATCATCCAGGCATTGGATCCTGATGGGTATGACTCCGTCAGGATCCAATGCCTGGATGATGTCTCCGCTGTCCCGAGAAAGGGTGTATCAGGTAAGTAACCAACACCCATTCTGTCCACCTCAGCGTATATCCATGCTGGCCACATAACCACAGAAATTGTCTTCACTGGCTCCTTTGGCCAAGAAACAGAGATGAGCACCATGCCCTAGAGTAGGACATGACTGACAGGGAAACCTTTATCTTTTTGCATATATCCAACTGAGTCACCACTTAAGAGTTATCTTGGGTGGCCAAACTATATTCTGAAGCCATGTTAATATTCAATTATTGAGTTTAAAGTGGATCCGTACTCCGCATCTTACGAATGAAGATCAGAGTTTGCATTCAGTCATATGGCTTAACTTTTAGCAGAATGCAGTTACGCTGATTCAAATCAAAAGTATATCATTCTGCCGTATTCCCAGATTTTTAAAAGCTTCTTTATCCTCCCATACAATTTGAGATAGATGGTTGGGAGAAGATAATTAGAGAGAGACAACATGTGTAGCAGAAGAGACTCATGAAAATTAGAGCTTGACATAGAAGCTTTTTAAAGGCCTGAAAAGAGAGTAGAACATCAAAGTATGAGTGAAATTCTAGGGCATTTTATGGATTGAAAGGAGGTGCTTTTTGGAGTTATTGTGGTTTCATAACATTTAGGATTTTAACAACCAAGTTGTTGAAATAAATTGGTAGTCAAACAGCCTTATGTGTGACTATATCAGTACTCAGTGACCTTGGGCCAATCAATCTCTCTCAGCCCTAAGAATGAAGCAATGGCAAGCCACATCTGAAAAACCTTGCCAAAAACCTTCAGGGACTTGTCCCAGCAGTTTCCAAGAAGGGGTGTCAAACTCGCATTGTCACGGCAGCGTCACATGACGTATCAGGACTTCCCCCCCCCATTCGCTAAACTGGGCAGGGGCATGGCCAGTGCGTGATGCATCCAGCCCATGGCCCGGGAATTTGACAGCCCTAATCTACAGTATCCCCCCCCCCCCCCGAAATCTACAATCCATTTATGCTAAGAGGTTTCAAGTTTGATTTATTTCACAGTTTGGGAAAATACATACTGATTTACAATGAAAATGTGATTGGTATTTGATCTCCTGTATCAATAAAGAAATGTTTTAATGGATATTCTTTCTTGACTCTCATGTTGACTTTGAAATAGTCCAATGTTAAATGATGGGAGTCCCTGTCAAAAGGAAATTCTAAATATGGCATAACCAATGCAGAATTAATAAACTATAGAACAGTGTTCCTCAACCTTGGTGACTTTAAGTCCTGTGGACTGTGCTGGCTAGGGGATTCTGGGAGTTGAAGTCCACAGGACTTAAAGTCGCCAAGGTTGAGAAACACTGCTATAGAAGTTGATTAGATTCTCCAAAATATCCACTCATTATATATTTTGATTCTTCATAGTTTTTAGCTTGTTGAGTCTGGAGATCAATTACAAACGAATACAGATTTTAAAATTAAACTAGGAAATGTGATTAAATGTGTGTGTTCCACTCACAAAGCACTTTGTGCGAGCTGTAGTGACATTTCAGTAGCAGAATAAACCTCTGTTCTGGATGGAAACCTGAAGAAGGACTTTTTATATAAATAAAATTGCAGCCTGGATTTACTGATATTTTTTTTTCATTTTCAAAGAGACTTGGCCTGTTGGCTCCCTGCTTAGCAGATTTGCATATTTTACTCTGGTAGTTTATTTGCTACTCTATTCACCTATTTTGAACTGTTATCTAAGTTGGCTTATCCTGTTAAGAGATTCCATTTGGAATTGATTTGCTAAAGTTGAAAAATGTGTTCTTAATTATTTCAGTTCCGTCGAGCAAAAAGAGAAGTGGTTCACTTCCCTTCAAAGGTACTTTGCTTTTTCTGTATTCATATTAGGAAATCATTGCTAAGTTAGCCAGGTGCAAAATTTGTATTTGAAAAGGTTCAAGCACCAAAGTATCCGGATTTAAATTTGAAACAGCTGCTTTTAGCTTAACTGGAAATATTCTGACATTGTCTAACATTCTAGTCCGGAACACTTCCAGCAAGGTCAGAGCTAACCTATTTGAATTCAAAACAGTTGTTGCAAAATCTTGTCTATCTAATTTAGATCAAACTTTAGACAGTTTCTCATTTTAGTGAGGGTAGTTCAGAGAGATATAGCTTTTTTTATAGAGCTAGTGGGCACATTTGAAAACTTTGAGAATATAGGAAGTTGCTGAACAGCTTTCAAAATCTAGCTGGAATACAATTACCTAGAACTGAATTAACATAATGCTTCTTGTCACCAACTCTACTCTATACTACCATAGCTAGCTTTCTTTATCCAGGCAAGAAAGCATATTTTTTTAAAAAACTAAAACTAAAAAGAGCATTCTTTCCATTATTCTTATTTTGGAAGAGAATTTATGGAGTTTATTCTTGGAAATGCTCATTCTTAGAAATGAAGTTGATGCTTGAAGATAGTGCTTTGTTTGTACTGTGTCAGCTTCTATATTTTTGAAAAATATAAAAATCAGTTGGGGAAAAATGTCTGAGAAATACTGAGAAATGTGTCTGTGGATACATTGCGGTCCATAGGTTTAGTCTAAATTGAGGTTATTTTATGGTTTTCAGAAATGTAATCATAAAGCCCATGGGAAAACACGGGGGAAAAAACCAAATACAACAAGACCAGCATATCTACACCCGTGAAAATCTACATATATATTCATTCATTCATTCATTCATTCATTCATTCATTCATTCATTCATTCATTCATTCATTCATACATACATACATACA